TGTACACATGGAGCGTGACTCAGCTGGAGACAGCTTACTGATTGGTTTGTACAAAGATGGCCAGTTCTGGATGCCAGAAGTCATCAGCCTGATGACAACTCTCCGATTGGTTCCTGTGCAACTGAACAGCTGGTACATGTGAATATTGGAGAGCCAGATAATCTCCAAATGGAGAGAAGCAGGGTCTGTTTCTATCTCCTTGTAGCAAAGTAACTCAAACTTGGAGACAGTTGGTTATTTTCTCCTACCATCATAGAATCCCTACAGTGTGGAAGCAAGCCATTCAGCCCATCGAGTCCACAACCGACTCTTCAAACAGCCTCCCACCCCGACCCACCCCTGTAACCCTGCATTTCCCATGGCTAACCCACCTAGCCTGCCCATCCCTGGACACTACGGGGCAATTTAGCACGGCCAATCCACCCTAACCTGCACATCTTTGGACTGCGCTAGGAAACCAGATTACTCCACATTTTCCTGGATGAATGCAGCTCCAACAACAGGCAAGAAGCTTGACACCATCCAGGAAAAAGCAACCTGCTTGACTGGAACCACATCTATCACATTCAATTTTCACTCCCTTCAACATTGATGCTCAGTGGCAGAAATGTATACCATCCACCAGATGCACTGCAGCAACTCATCAAAGCTCCTTTGATAAAATCTTCCAAACTCCTCACCTCTACTGTGCGGAAGGACATGGCCAGGGTGATAAATGAAACACTACAAACTTTCTCTTCAAGCCATATACCATCCTGACTTGGAACTATATTGTTGTTCCTTAAGTGTAACTCTGTCAAAATCCTGGAACTCCCTTCCTAATAGGTCAGTGGTTGGATCTACACCCCAGGGGCTGTAGCAGTTCAAGAAGGCAGCTCACTACCTCCTTGACAAGGAAGGCCATTTAGGGATGAGCAATAAACACTGGCCTCAATCTCATGAATGAATAAAAGGTGCTAAGTAAATGTAAACTCTTGTTGCAAGATATCTTTTCTGCTTTTTGCAAGAGGGTAACCAAAAGTATTAAAGCAGAAAACATTTAGTCATAAAAACCAAAAGAACTGCGGATGCTGTAAATCAGGAACAAAAACAAAGTTGCTGGAAAAGCTCAGCAGGTCTGGCAGCATCTGTGGAGGAGAAAACAGAGTTAACATTTTGGGTCCGGTGACCCTTCCTCAGAACTGCAGAACACCTACGCTCGGTTCGCAATAAACAACTGCACCTCCCAATCGTGAACCATTTCAACTCCCCCTCCCATTCCTCAGACGACATGTCCATCCTGGGCCTCCTGCAGTGCCACAACGATGCTACCTGAAGGTTGCAGGAACAGCAACTCATATTCCGCTTGGGAACCCTGCAGCCCAATGGTATCAATGTGGAGTTCACAAGTTTCAAAATCTCCCCTCCCGCTACCGCATCCCAAAACCAGCCCAGCTCGTCCCCGCCTCCCTAACCTGTCCTTCCTCCTACCTATCCCCCTCCTCCCACCTCAAGCCCCACCCCCATCTCCTACCTACTAACCTCATCCCGCCCCCTTGACCTGACCTATCTCCTCCCTACCTCCCCACCTACACTCACCTTTACTGGCTCCATCCCCGCCTCTTTGACCTGTCCATCTCCTCTCCACCTATCTTCTCCTCTATCCATCTTTTATCCGCCTCCCCCCTCTCCCTGTTTATTTCAGAACCCCATTCCCCTCCTCCATTTCTGAAGAAGGGTCTAGGCCCGAAACGTCAGCCTTCCTGCTCCTCTGATGCTGCTTGGCCTGCTGTGTTCATCCAGCTCTCCACCTTGTTATCTCAGATTCTCCAGCATCTGCAGTTCCTACTATCTCTGAAACATTTAGTCATGTAGCTTTTCATATTATAGACAAATGCATCTTGCTTTAGTCTCAAAGACGCCATCTTGTGAGAAGAGAGAGCAACACAGCAGAAATAACAAAAGTTCAATCGTATAAATTAATCCTTTTCAGAATCACATTGCTATTCATCCATCCAGCATACACCACCATCCTGTTAGTGCTTCTTTTGGAGTTGTGCCATTTTACCAAAAAAATCACATATTTGTACTTAGTATATGTAAAGTTGTGTACATTCCTTCTTGTCTGGAGAGTTGGCTCAAGTTGCAATACAGTTTCAATACCAGAATAAAACTCATGTCACTGGTCATTCTTCATGTTATGAAGCAAACGAGTAAGTGCCAGAGAACTATCTGACCACAGGAGGCATTGCAGGAACCATTCTGCTCTCAGCTGAGTGTCACAGACAAAAACATTTGCATATTGCTTTTCCCAACCATGAGCTGTTTCAAACTGCTTTACAAACAGAAGGTTCCTTTGCAGTACTGTACTTCAATGAAACACCACAGCCAATTTGTCCACAGCAAGGTCTTGGAGTCATACAGCACGGAAACAGACCCTTCAGTCCAACTAGTCCGTGCTGACTAAACATCCCAATCTGCTCAGTCGCAGCAGTGTGTACTATCGACAAGATGCACTGCAGAAATTCGGCAAAGATCCTCAGACAGCAACTACCAAACTCACGTCCACTTCTATCTAGAAGGACAAGGGCAGCAGATATTTGGGAACACCACCACCTGCAAGTTCCCCTCCAAGCCACTCAGCAGCCCGACTTGGAAATATATCGCCGTTCCTTTACTGTCGCTGGGTCAAAATCCTGGAATTCCCTCCCTAATAGCATTGTAGGTCAACCCACAGCAGGGGGACTGCTGCAGTTCAAGAAGGCAGCTCATCACCACCTTCTCAAGGGCAACTAGGAATGGGCAAGAAATGCTGGCCCAGCCAGCAACACCCACATCCCACAAATGAATAGAAAAGAAATTGCCAACATTCAGTCCATACCCCTTTAAAACCTCCCCAAACAGTAGAGTGATAACCAGGCAATCTGTTTTTAAGCTTTTCATTTGAGGGATGAATTTTTGGACAGGACTTCAAGTCTGTCTTGCCTGCTCTTCATCAAAACAGCGATGAGGGTATTTTTTAAACATCCACCTAAGCAGGTGAATGGAGCCTCAGTTTAACATTCAGAAGACAGCACTACAATCAGTTCGACACTCCTTCAATACTGCAATGGACCATCAGCTTGAATTTCTGCGCTGAAAACCTGGAGTGGGATTTGCATTAGGAAATTTGTGATTCAAAGCTAAGTGTCCCACCCATTGAGCAACAGCTGACACATCGCATAGGTTCTGGCAAATGCGATCAGGAGCTGCATCCCTGCTTTTTTTTTTACCCCTCTCCCAGGAGCAAACATGGGTTCCCAGCAGTGATCTGCTCAATCGGCATAGAACCCCTGGTTTGTAGAAAGAACTTGGCCCTTGGCTCAAGAGAGCCACCTTGTGATAAAACAGCACACTGCAGCACAAATTAAAATTAAATTCACTCCAGAAAATGGTCCAACTTCATAAACCTGGTGATTAAAATCAGTTCATACACATTCCACCATGCTGCTTTCTGTAACACAACCATTCCCAGTACATTAGTCCATCAATTATGGTAATCATAACACACGTTTAACAGAAAAATTGAAATCTAACAAAGAATACGAGAGAAACTCTCGCAGCATCTGTGGGGAGAGAAACAGAGCTAAACAGTTAGTGATGACTCATCCTCAGAACCATACTCGATTCAAAAAGTTAACTTGGTCTCGCTCTCTCTCTCCATAGTTGCTGCCAGTCTTGCTGAGTTTCTCTACCATTCTGTGTTTATTTCAGATTTCCAGCATCCATAGTCTTTTGCCTTCAGAAAAAAGAAAAACTTCAGCGCTTCAGAGACCTCATGTTCTACTTGCTATCTCAAGGTAGCAATGTTAACAACTGGTTCGTGAGCTCAATATTGGTGTTTCATAAAATGAGGGGTAGCAAATACACAAGCAATTATACAGAACTTACTAAAAATGATCTCCACCACCCAGGTCAGTCTACAGAGGCAAATTTAAATATACTGTAGAATTCGTCAACAAAGGTATCAGCATTTGGGTATATCACCAACACCAATCTGGTTTTGCAGAGAATTCTGCTCAAATTACTATTGCCCCATTAGAACAGTATCATTTGCAGACTGCAGAGGTGAAAAGAAAATGATCCCAACTTACTGCACTATCCAGTCCAAATAAATTAGATTAAAAACTAAACACTATCCATCGTTATTCAAGGTTAGCTAGTTCAAATTAGTGGATAATAATGGAAAACAAAGAATGATATATTGGGAATATACAGTCTAAACAAAACAGATAGACATGACCCCCTGGGTCTTTAATCTCCTCCCTCTCTAACCTTTCCCTGACCCTTGAGTTTTGTTCCAATCACTCCTGCCCATTTTCTTAACACACATCACTTTCCCACCTCTCTCCAATTCTGAAGAGGATTTATGTCAGATGTGAAAAGTCAACCATCTTTCTCTTTCCACAGATGCTGAGTTGCTTCAGCACTTTGTTTGCATTTCAAAACTGAGATTTAATCAAAATAGTTTGCATTATTTATTTAAATTAGTTGTATTAAATTGCATATTTTTTGCAGAAAATTAGAAACCCAGACAGACGATTTCCAACACATTCAATCTGTTCTCACTAGATTAATTTCATCTGCATATAGAATTGGCTTCACTTCATTTTGTTCTGGTTCGAATTTTATTTTAAAATGATAGTTTAATGAATTTTAGGATATAATAACATACGCGGCCGCAACTAACCATATATCAAATATTTCTGACAGATCTTGGTCTCCTGCTTGTTTTGATCTTTATTTGAAACGGTAACACAAAGCAAGGGTCAAAATGGTTAGGATGCACTCATTTAAGCTCTTTAAAGAACACAATGTCTAAACTGAGCTATCATAGCTTTTATAGATCAAAGCCAAACTCGCTATGGCTCTCGTAAGACGTATATCTCAACATGCACACATTGCTGTTTTCAATATTTGATCTTATTCTGTAAAGAAACCTTTCACAGACACACACCAAATATACACAGGCAAAAGCTTACCATAAATGTCAGGTCCGTGTGGGGTAAAAACGTTGTAAATAATTATTCTCAGGGGAGTAACCACCAACTTTCCATAGTAATAGCTGTCCACTACAACAAGGGGGAGCTGCAACACAAACAAAGATGTCCTGATTTTTACTTCCACATTCTCTGCAGGGGTTTAGCATTTCCCCCCAACAAACAGGATGTTACCCTTACCACAATCTAGCAAGAACTACTTTGCAGTGCTATCAGGCCTTCATGAAAGTGGTTTGCCAACTGAAAGCAGTAAGGAGCAGGAGGAGGAAGGAAGGAAGTTATCCTTCTAGAAAGTTCATGAGGAGCAGGTTGCCCACTGTCTATCCAAGAAGCTCCTTCTTACGTGCATGAATGAGGTGTTAGCACAAAGCACGATCCATATTTAGAACACGGACAAAACCTATTTTGCAAGCAATTATGGATTAATTTCCTTGATACCTACCAGAAAGAGCAGCAAAGCCACCACCGTCCATATAAAAAAACTCTGGAACCTTCTCTTCAGTACCACCAGGTCAAATGCTATTGGCAAACTAATAAGAGGAGAAAATGAATCACAGGATTAGATTTACAAAACACGCATTAAAATAAGAATTTAGGTATATTAAATTTATTTCAAAAGTACAACTTAGAAAACAGATTTTATTTAAAATAGATACACGGTGAGGCTTAACACACAGTAGTTTGGGAAAATACACTGGATATTTTTTATAAGACTAAATACAATGGATTTGTAGGCTGACAGTAACACAGCAACAATGTTACTGTGTCAATAATCCAGACGAACATGCTGGAGGGGAGTTCAAATCTCTCTGCAGCAACTGGACTTCAAATTAATCAATAAATCTGGAATAAAATATTAGTCCCATTAGTAATACTTATGAAACTACTGAATTGTTGTAAAAATCTTTCTGGTTCACTAATGTCCTTTTTTAAGTCTACCTTACAGGTGACTCTTGGTCCACAGCAACCTACTTGACTCTTCATTGCCCTTGCAAATGGCAGCTACAAAAAACAAGCCCTGTGGCCACATACTTTCTCAAGGGTTCAAACAGATGGACAATAAGTGCTGGCGTAGCAAAACGTCACACCCAAGAACAAAGTAAATTAAAAGGCCCTTAAAAAAAAGTAGCAGGAAATGCTGAAAATATGCAATAATTCTGCCCACATTTGCAAGGAGACGAGAAGTCAGATAATACTCCAGGCTAGACTCTTCTACATCCAAGTCCCCTCCCAAATATTAACCGAATAATCTTCCTTTTTCATTTCCAAATCCAATACGATTTTCCTTAACCAGTCAAAAATTTGTCTGTTCCATTAGAAAGGGCAACTGGCAACAACGGGAGGAAGGAGAAGAAAACGGGGAGGACTGTGTATTGCAAGCAACCAGTTTCACCCACAAGAACAGATAGAATCATAGAATCCCTACAGCGTGGAAGTAGGCCACTGGGCGCATCGGGTCCACACCAATCCTTGGAAGAGCATCCCACCTAGATCCACCCCCATCCCTGCAGCCCTGCATTTCCCATGGCTAATCCACCTAGCCTCCACATCCCTGGACACTATGGTTCAATTTAGCATGGCCAATCCACCTAACCTACACATCTTTGGACTGTGGGAGGAAACCGGAGCACCCGGAGGAAACCCGTGCAGGCACAAGGAGAATGTGCAAACTCCAGATAGACAGTCGTCCGAGGATGGAATTAAACCCAGGTCCCTGGCACTGTGAGGCAGCAGCACTAACCACTGAGCCACTGTGCCGCCCTTAGACAGGCTGAGTATTTCAAGTTGGATACTTCTAATTAACGCATTACTTTTCAACAACTGTTGGAGTTCAAATAAAATCATTGAAAAGAGTTATCATTTGTTTCTGCTCAACTCTTCCACTCCTTTGTTTCAACCTGGACTCTGGAGGCACCAGAGACAGTCCAGAGGTAAGACAATGCAAAGGGGTTGAATTAATATCATGACTAACATTATTCTTGCATCTTTGTAACCAGCAGCTTTTCCAAACTAGCACTTTGCCCTCCCTTTCTCCCCCCAATAATGTTTTATTTTGGAATGTGGGTGCCACTAGCACTTCCATCTTTAACTGCCTTTGAGTTCACTGATGGTTGGGCTATTGTAACATATGGCTGCAGGAGTTATTCCCTTATTACTCAGTGCTAAAGGTGACACGTTGTATGACTTGCACACAGACACTTGCCTATCAGCCAGTGGAAGATTCAATGATAATATTGACAACAGGATTGGATAAATAGCTGAAAGGGTTAAAAAAAAACTCTATTTACCCCTTTTCCATGTACTTGTCCCTAGTCAGAGCTGCTTTTTTCTGATCCTGTTCACTGTTTATTAACTTTCCGTTGTGATCCATCAGGAGAAATGCAGGATGGTAAAGCAATTTCTGGCTCAGTAGAAACTGTGTGACCATAGTTGTCAAAAGGGGAAAACTAAGGGACTTTCTTCAGGGTCAGGGGAAAGACTAGAAAGAACCTGAAAAGTTCTACTAAGACGTACAGGCATGATAAGCCCAATGGCCCCCGAGTACTCTGTGCCATTGTAGGGCTACGCTAATTCCACAAGGATTGGTAGCTTCAAGTTAGACAATTCCAACATCGCTGCTTCAGACCTAGGTACTTATAACATCGCTGCTTCAGAGTCAGGTACTTATAACATCACTGCTTCAGAGTGCCCTGGTAAGACGCTCTTGATGTTCTTACCCAAGGGCTGCACTGAAGGGCCATCCCAAAATGGCTCCGGCTGCCACTCCCAGTATAGCCACAGCATTCGTATCTGTAAACCAGCCAGTCATTGCAATTAGAGTTGTGTTCATGCAGAAGCTACTGGGGAGGAATGCTGAAAATGAAGGAGAGAGAACGAGAAGGCACCAAATAAAAATTAGTCATCTTACCACATTACTGTTCATGGGTATCAAAGTTAAAAAAACCAACAACACAAGGGTAAATCTAAACTGCAGCCCATTCAGGGCAATCAGGCTCCTGAAGGACAAATGCCATAGCCTTTTCATTGCTTTATCTTTTTAATCATGGGTTTGCTTCTTTAGAACTTTGTGGTTTGGGATGGTCTTACTTAGCGCTGTTGCCTTGGAAACATGCAAGCCCTAAATCACAACCCTTGACACCAGTGACTGGAGATACCTGCAAATAAACAAGAACATGGAACAGGATCTTAGCAGCCACGGAACGCCGTGCGCGTTGGCGAGAATGTTGGGAAAATTGTGTGAGGACGGCTGTAAGGAGATCCCTGATCTACAACAGAAACCCACAACTGTGAGTAGATGTCACCCTCAAATTGAGGGATGGGCAACCATTTCCCTCAGTGAAATACCAAGTAAGAAGTTGAACTTGGGTTTGTTTCTTCCAGCACTGTTCTTGGTCTTACATGTAACTTTATGCTCTCATTTCCATAAATGCAAGTCTTTACTCACCAGCTGCTGAGCAGAACATCCCAGTACTCAAAACCATGAACGCCAACATTAATCGCCCGACATGGAGCCCAAACTTCTTGCAAACAGCTCTAGAGCACAACCAGCGTACACACTTTCATTGATACATTATACTAAAACAATTAAATTGCAACTAGTTAAAAGACTTTTTAAAACACAAGCTCCAAGTATGCAGCAGGTCTGTCAGCACCCTGAAAATATAGATTAGTACGCTGAACGCTGGATATTTGAGTGTTCAGACAACAGTTCTATATTTAAAACGTTACATCTTTTCTGCATCAGCGCCGAATTACCTGCTGGATATTTTTCCTGAATTAACCACGAGATATTTTTCCAGCATTCCCTCTTCTTTTCTGCAACTTTCCAACAGTATCAATTCTTATTAAATTATCAAAACAGGAAAGCCATAGGCTGATAGATAAAATGCATTGACTTACTTGTAAAAGTACAACTCGCAAATGCAGCAGAAAAAGGCTAAGAGACATCGTAAGAAATAGAAGACAAGAACCTGGAAAAAGAAGGTCCTTCACATTAAATGTAAGTAAGTTGGCAAGGTCAAACGTCAACCACTAAACCACCATCATTTTTCAATGTAGTATTCAGAGTAATGTAATTAAGGACAATTCTATAAACTCCCTAAAATGAAACAAAGAACTGCAGATGCTGGAAATCTGAATGAAAAACAGAAGTTGCTGGAGAAACTCAGCAGGGTCAACATTTTGAATCCTGCGACCCTTCTTCAGAACTGTTCAAAAATGTTAACTGTTTTCTCTCCACAGATGCTGCCAGAACTGCTGAGTTTCTCCAGCAATTTATGTTTAAGCACCCTTTAAGTTTCCATTGTTGTTTACATCCTCATAATGTTTGGATGCCCTTAATTAGCTGTCACCTCAGTAATATTACAGTTTCTATAACAAAAACAAAGAACATATGCATGGGAAAGGGAGTTTGTTGGTCAATCTTAAGGAGCATGGGACCTAATCTTCAAAGTTATTTAAGCTCCTAAAAGCATAGCGTGACTTACAAATGGATTGCAAAGTATTTTTAGTTGTTTTAATTAGTTTTAATTAGTTAATGGGAAGGTACTTTTGCCACATTGGTACATTAACGGACTATTAATTAATGTAAGTAAGAAATGAACATGTTTAAAGTTGACAGATCTTGGAAGTAACAACGATGTGTCCTTTCGGTTCAAAGAAGGGTCTACGCCTGAAGTGTCAGCTTTCCTGCTCCTCTGATGCTGCCTGGCCTGCTGTGTTCATCCAGCTCTACACCGTGTTATTTCAGATTCTCCAGCATCGGCAGTTCCTACTATCTCCAGGATAAGGTACTTCAATTAAGTTTTTTTCAATCACTCCTCCACTCCTAATTGTCCCAGAGAATTGAACTGTTAAAGTTGTTAGGATATAGGGACACCCACTGGCCAGTTAGGAAGGGAGCTATGGGATTTAGAGTAGTGACAGTGAAGAGACAGCTCTGCAGTCTCAAGTCAGGATAGTAAGAGACTCGGAGAGGAGCTACTATATTGACCATTGTTGTTTCCAATGCCAAATCCAATTTCATTCTTTCAGATTTTGTAGTGGTTTTTACAAAACTGCTCAATTGTTTTAGGGTGCAGTTGACAGCCTGGAGGGTTATAAGATTTTCCTTCCCCAAGGGTATTCACAAACCAGATGAGTTTTTAACAACAATCAATATGGTTACACAGTCAGACTAGCTTTTAATTCCAGATTTTTTAAAATTCAAATTTCACCACCTTCCATGCCGGGATTTGAACCCCTGGGATTTCTATATTATTAACCCAGTGATTTTACCACTATGCCACTGCCTTCCTTCTGTGAACAAGCTAAAGAAGCTGGGATGACTCTCCTTAGAACAGAAAAGGTTAAAGAGGTTTAATAACGGTTATGAGTTTTGAGGAAACAAATAAGGAAAAACTGTTTCCATTGGCAGGAGGGTCAGTTACCAAACACTCAAATTTAAGATAATTAACAAAAGAATCAGGGAATTTTTTTTTGCAGCAAGTTGTCATGATCTGGAATGCACTGCAGAAAAGAAGCTGAAAATAGATTCAATAATCATTTCAAAATGGAATTGGATGTTGGAAAGGAAACATCTGCAAAGGTCTGTGGAAAGAGCAGACATAGTATGACTGTTCTTCCAAAATGCTGACAAAAGTCTGCAAGAAACCACCATTACAGAAACATAAGAAATAGGAGCAGGAGTAGGCCATCTGGCCCATCAAACCTGCTCCGCCATACAATAAGATCAGGGCTGATCTAATCGTGGACTCAGCTCCACTTACCCGACCACTCACCAAAACCTTTAATTCATTTCCTGTTCAAAAGTCTATCTATCTTTGCTAGTTTTAGCTAGTTTCCTGGAGGATGCAAACACCAGATTCTAACATCATTCTGAGATATTATTAATGCTGGGGTGGAGCCTGTTAAACTGCTGCTAAGGACATGGAGAGTGAACCATATAGTGTCAGCAAAAAGCAAGACTCCATCTGAAGGACATGAGTAAACCAGATGTTCTCCCAACAGCCTTGCAACTTTCAAGCTCTTTTCTGTCCTCGTGATGTCCAGATTTATTTAATTCTCTCCCACAAACGATCACAATGGAATTTGAGCATGTAACCTCTAGGTTGTAAATACACCTATAAATATGTACCAATCTGGATAAGTCAATTCTAATTTTGAATGAATGATGGGTTACAGAAATATAACTAGGGTGCCAATTCCGATCACAATGCAACACCACTAGCTGGAATCTGGTCTCACTTGTCAAAGATCCTGCCAGGAAGATCTGTTGAGGTTTATAGGTGATAAGTAATCATTAGGCCAGGCTGAGAGGTAGAAGTAACATCACCAGACTGATAATCTACAGTCCTTAGTATTCTAGGGAATGAGTTTGAAAACACCTCATTAGACGGTGAAATTTTAATTTTAGTGTGGAATTAAAAGCTAGTTTAGTTCTAATTGTGACCATATAAAGATTGCCACAAAAAGCTCACCTGGTTTGCTATAGTCCTTAAGGGAAGGAAATCTACCACGCTGGCCTACATGCAATTCTTAACTGCCCTCTGAAATGGTCTATCCAGGTCAAGGGCAGTAAAAGATGGGCAATAAACGCTGGCGCAGCTAGTAATGTTTTACTTCCCATGAAAGTACTTTCAAAAATTCAATCTATCAGCGAGAGCAGTACAGGTGCAGAGGGACATCAGATTCCCGTGCATGATTCTCTGAAGGTGGCCAGGAATGTTAAAACAGTTGTTAAGACGAGTAATAGGATCCTTGGGTTTATAAACAGAGGCATAGTGTATGAAAGCAAGGAATTGATGCTACAACTCTACAAATCTGGGCACCTTATTTAAGGAAGGATTTTAAAACCCTGGAGAGAGTTTGAAGGAGATTTACTAGAATGACACCAGGAAAAAGGGATTTCAGACAAAAGGAAATATTAGAAAAATTGGACTTATTCTGCATGGAGAAGAGAACATTAAGAGGTGACTTTATTGAGGTGTTCAAAATTATGAACAATTGTGTCAGGGTAAAGAGGATACTCTGTTTCCACGAGTTGGTATATCAGTGACTAGGGATCACATTTCAAGATTGTCAGCCAGACAGCTAGGAGTGAGATGAGGAGAAACTTCTCTCCTCAGACAAGCTGATGGGATTTGGAATGTGCTTGATGGGAGAGTGGTGGAGGCAGGGTTTTCAAAAGACAGCTGGTTATGTATTTGAAAGTGATTAATTTAGATGACTAATGGAGAATGGCACTAGCTGGGTAGCTCTTTCAGGAGCTGATATAAATACAATTGGTCAAATGGCCTCCTTCTGTGCCGTACAATTCGATAATTCTATATCCTGGTATCCATGAAACCCACAGTCTGCACCTACAGGAAAGATGAAATAATCAAAAGAAACAGTGGACTCTCTGACATGAATAACTTCAAAAGTACAACCGGGCTGTATGGGGATGATGCTAGCAAGCACTTCCTTACATGAAGATGTGTGAAAGTCTGGAACGCTCTCCAAAAAAAAAAAGGTCACTAAGACTCAAAGGACTAAATTAAGTTTCAAGACCAGGATTGATGGATTTTTGTTATCAAGGATATTAAAGGGATGCGCAGCGAAGGCAATAAAAATGGAGTTGAGGTGATTGAACTAAATAGCAGTGCAGGCCTAGGAGTGAAATGACGTATTTCTGTTCCTAATGCTCCTCAGAGCAGGTGAGCAACAATAACTTAGTACACTTCTATTTAAAAAAAAGCACCTTGTTGGTTTGCAGAACTCTTGCATGGAACCAAGCAGGTAAAACGTGTAGCCAAAGATAAGCGTAGGAGCGAATGGCATAGGCTGGAGAGTATTCCCAGGTCTGGAATCCCGTTCCATACAGCAAAAAATGTGTCTGTGTACAAAGAAATGAGATGTGAGTAACCAGATTAATCATCTCCAAGTAGGTCACATTTCCTCCTTTCCCCTCCCTTCTTAAAGCTTTGCTTTTTTTAAATACAATGTAAAATAACCCCATTGCAATTTAAATAAATTATGATTTTGTTACAGTGCAATTTTAGTGTGTTTTAGTCAACCTTCAGTCACAGTATTCTTTTCTGGCAGCCCGCCCCCTTATTCCATACATTTACTGGTGCCACAGATCATCACTGATTCAGTCAGAACCGGCAACTGCTCTTTTCCATCCATGTACTTTTTCTGTCTTTTTCCCCTCAATCCAGCAAAGTGCTTTAACTAATAGTGTCACTGGTTGAGAACAGAATCATCTGCAAAGTCAAAAGGGACTGAACTGTGTCTTCAGGCAGTTTACATAATGTACTAAAGCATGTGGCTGAGGACAGGAGAGAGCTCACCCTCAAGGGACTGTTCAGTAAACATCTACCGAACCAAAAAAAGCCAGTATTAAACACTGAGCAATTGCACATTGCAATTAACTGAGGCAAAAGTCATTCCTACAGTTTCAAACATTTCTGCAATCAAGTTACGGTAATTTAAAAAAAAACTCAAGTTTGTTTTTACTTTAGCATCACATCCTTTAGCATTACTAAACATACAAGGAACTAACTCCAAACAGCTTTCTCATAGCAATTGTAAAACGCAGATTGCAAAACTTACTGGTTCCCAATAGTTGAATGTTTCATCGCAGTCTGAAATGTTACTGAGTAATGCTGCGCAGAACCTTGCAGAGATGAGACATTTAAAGGCTGTAGAACCCTCGGGTGCCCACACTTGTCCTGCTTTAGCACCTGATTGCCTGGAAAGAGGCAAATATCGATGGTAAGGGGAAATAAAGTGGGCTGGGCACAAGCTAAGAGATTAAAGGAATGGCAGGATTTGGTACAGTACATAGAACAGTAAACTATTAGAAAAGCAACAAGACCATCTTATGTCAATATATTTTCTTCTCTTATTATAATGACTCAAAATACTTAACCAAGTGGACTGCTTGTTGCAACATAGATTTTTTAATGACGTACATTTGGCAACTTGTTTGTGATTCATGACAAACCCTTTTATTTTTAGTCATATTGTTTCAAGGGATAATTGTTGGTTAGGACACCAGGGGATTTCTCTGGCCCTCTTCAATTTACATCAGGTGATCTCAACAAGTGAAGTGGCCTCACTTTAACAATGCATTCAAAGGATTGTGTCTCCAATCATGTATCCACACTCCGAGTCACTTGATAGGACAGAAATTCATATTGCTGAAAGAGACATTCAGTCGAAGCTTGTCACCTTGTATTCATCAGGAAAGATGCACAAGTTGCAAATTTCAAAGCAAACAACAAGTTATACTGCATGAGAATTATTGTGCTGATTGGTTGGCACGTGGACTCTGACATAAAATTATTGGTCCCTTTGTAGACTTGGTATTCTTGAATCTATCCTGATGAGTGAGGATGAAAAGCTTCAGCATATCATTATTTTAAGCAACATTTGTGCTTCTGTGTGACACCAGTCATTTGTCTATAATTCAGCAAAATACGATTAGATTCCAATGCTATAACTGTCAATTACAAAGGTACCACTTCAACCACATGAAGTCTGCCAGATGTTCCAGTCAGTAAAAACTTTTCATCTTTATTCAAGTGCGGTAATCCTCTATTCTAAATTGCAGATACTGATTTGGAAATCAAAAATTTCATACCTCAAGTAAAGAGCTGCACAAGTCACTAAACTTTGAAGGTCTGAAACCCCCAGGATTCAGAAGATGACACTGACAAATGGAGTTCCCTTCCCATCTTGAAAGTAAGAGAGGTTTCACACTGCCCTGATAAATGGATCACTGACAGCAACAGACTAAGTTTAGTATCTTGCTCTCTCTACAGAATGGATACAGAGACAAGGTTGACTTGGTAAACTGATTAATATGGAGAAAAAGCACTGTGTTGCAATAGTAAGTGTCAGAAGAGAACATAGCCTCTGGTCTTACACCACTCCATGAAATATTTACTATTTAACATCGGCCAATGATCTCTGAAGTGCTGCTCAATTGCAGCATTGTAATTGGCAGAGTACAGACTGCAATCATTTAACCCATGCTAGCAAAACCCAAAAGGCAAAGTCTGCTAGACATGAATTGGGCACCACTAGCTGAACAATTTTGATTGCATTAATTTGTAATATTTATGTTTGCTAGGAGCTACATATATTCATCCACAGCAACCCATTCCCTGCAAATCAAAGGAATATCTCGAAAACTTGCGCCTGTTTTGGATTACACATGAGCTTGGGCACTCTACAGTTCCCCATTACCTTACCCATGGCATCACGTCAGCCAATCAGAGTCAACTTACAAACTAATTAACACTGTTTTCTCTTGAAGTATAAATTACCATGATCCTTTGAAATTTGGCATTCTTGCACTTATCCTGATGCAAGCAAGACAAAAGGATTCAGCCACAAGTTTCTCTTTGGTGACTGTCCCTTTATTTTTCCACTTACATTGAATGTATCCAGGCAGTCTAAAAATATTTGGAAAGGTCTTTTTGAGCATTGCAATTATACGACAAGAGAAGGAGGAAGAACCAGTTGCTGTTAACATTGCTCTTTAGCTCTTTGGGATGCAATAGATTAAAGCAACTTTGTACTTCCTCATGAAAAATGATCCAATCTGTATTCTACCAAACTATAGTGCCAACAAGGCTATTGCAAGCCATGAGTCTCGACTTGTCTCTTGCCTCTCCACGTGGAAGTACATTAGACACACAGCTCGGAAGACTTCACTATCTTATTACTATTTAAATTGAAAGTTATAGAGTCATTGAGATGCACGGCACGGAAACAGACGCTTCAGTCCAACTTGTCCATGCCAACCAGATATCCTAGATAAATCTAGACCCATTTGTCAGCATTTGACCCATATCCCTCTTAACCCTACCAATTCATACACCCATCCAGGTATCTTTTAAATGTTGTAATTGTACCAGCCTCCACCACTTCCTCTGGCAGCTCATTCCATGCACGCACGAACCTCCACGTGAAAAAGTTGCCTTTAGGTCACCTTTAAATCTTTCCCATCCCATCTTAAACCTATGCCCTCTATTTTTTGATTCCCTACCCCAGGGAAAAAGACCTTGTCTATTTACCCTATCCATGCCCCCCATGATTTCATAAACTGCTATAAGGTTACCCCTCAGCCTTCGATGCTCCAGGGAAAATAGCCCCAGCCTATTCAGCCTCTCCCTATAGCTCAAACTCTCCAACCCTGGCAAGATCCTTGTAAATCTTTTCTGAACCCTTTCAAGTTTCACAACATCCTTCGTATAGCAGAATTGCACACAATATTCCAAAACCAATGTCCTGTATGGCCACAATATGACTTCCCAACTCCTACACTCAATGTTCTGACCAACAAAGGCAAGCATACCAAACACTTTCTTCACTATGCTATCCACTTGCAACTCCACTTTCAAGGAACAATGAACCAGCACTCCAAGGTCTCTTTGTTCAGCAACACTCCCCAGGACTTACCATTAAGTGTATAAGTCCTGCCCTGATTTGCCTTTCCAAAATGCAGCACCTCACATTTATTTAAATTAAACTCCATCTGCCACTCCTCAGCCATTGGCCCATCTGATCAAGATCTCATTGTACTCTGAGGTAAACTTCTGCCATGTCCACTACACCTCCAATGTTGGTGTCATTTGCAAACCTACTAACCGTATCTCCTATGTTCACATCCAAATCATCTACATAAATGATGAAAAGCATTGGACCCAGCACTGATCCTTGTGGCACACCACTGGTCACAGGCCTCCAGTCTGAAAAGCAACCCTTCACCACCAAGCTCTTTCTCCTACCTTCAAGCCACTTCTATATCCAAATGGCTAGTTCTCCCCGTACTCCATGTGATCTAACCTTCCTAACCAGTCTGCCATGAGGAACCTTGTTGAACGCATTACTGAAGGCCATATAGATCGTATCTACCACTCTGCCCTCATCAATCCTCTTCCTTACTTCTGCAAAAAAACTCAATCAAGTCAGTGAGACATGATTTCCCAAGCATAAAGCCATGTTGTCTCTCCCTAAACAGTCTTTGCCTTTCCCAATAGATGTAAATCCTGTGCCTCAGGATTCCGTCTAACAATGTGTCAGCAAGGGGCCCAGCAATCACTACCCACAGAGTTCTAGGGTACATCTGATCAGGTCCCCCAAGTTCAGACTAAAAACAATCAAAAATGTTAATCAGAAACCTGCAGTCACTTGAGTCTGGTAGAGCAAGAAGCAGAGGGCATGGAGCAGCTGTGAAGAAGCCAATAATCAATTCTGACAACTTAAAAGAGGCTGAAATCTCCAGGGATATATTCAAATAGGGTTGGCAACAGATTCATTCAAGTAAAGGTAAAGTTGCTACAGGTCCAGACGACTAAAGAGCTATTCTCTCATTAAACAGAGACGACTGCCAGTATTTTAACCTAAGGGTCACCACACCTCAGGCAAGGAGAGAGATTCAGAAGGGAGGTACTTCTTGGTAACCTCAGCCAGAGTGGGAATTGAACATATGCTGTCGGCATCACTATGCATCACAAACCAGCCATTCAGCCAACTGAGTTAACCAACAACACAATGCCAACAAACATGCCACATTTGCCAGCAGTTCCTTTTTTTTTGTACAGGACTCACCCCTGTTAGAATTGAAAATTAAGGCTGATAATTTGCATGTAGCAAGGTCACACACACACACAGAAAAATGACAATAACACTTTTGTTTGATCAATCCCTTCCCTGAGGGTCTGACTCAATCTGATAGTGTAATTCTACAAGAACCCTTGGTCCTCTAATTTAAGGGAGCAAAATGGGGTCAGATATCACATACACATTCAATTTATCTGGACCCAATGCCAGGAGCTGATATTCTTCACTCTCATTATTGGAGGATGCTGAGGCCAATTGTCTGGTCCTACCCCAAATAAAACAAGATGATGCAACACAGACTGAGGATTAAACATGGGACGCAGAAATTCCAAGCATTCCACATTTGCAAGTTCTGGCTATTTCAATGAAGATAGGTCAGAACCATTTTTCTCCACCTTCACCATACTTACTATATTCTCCCTTTTCACAGCTAATCTGCCTTGAATTATTTGAAGTCTTGGCCCCATTCATCATTTTCAATTGTACCCATCACAATCTTTGCCAATGAGCAGCCCACTAACATACAGACCTAATTGTAAACAGACCCCAAGTGTAAAAGAAAGGGCAGCAGCTGCTTAAAATTATGCAAAATGTGGCACAGAAAGAGGCCATTCAGCCTAACCAGCCCATGACACGGGAGGCAAAGGCCTAGTGGTATTATTGCTAGACTGTTATTCTAGAGATGCAGGTTCAAATCCCACCATGGCAGATGCTGGAATTTGAATTCAATAATAATTTAAGATAAAAGAGTCTAATGATGACCATGATTCAATTGCCTGCAAAAACCCACCTGGTTCACTAATGTCCTTTAGGGAGGGAAATTGCCATCTTTACCTAGTCTGGCCTACATGTGACTCCAGACCCAAGAGAGATTTCAGCCTCTTTTAAGTTGACTCTTAACTGCCCTCTGGGCAATTAGGGATAGACAATACATACAAGCCCAGCCAGAATGCCCTCTTCTGTGAATGAATAAAAAAGAATTATGCTCCACTCAAATCTCCTCTCAACTTTTCTCATCTAAATCAACCAATATAACCAGCTGGTTCTCCCTCTCATCCGGTTTAGTCTTCCCTTCATTGCATCTATTCTCCTTGCTTCGACAACCCTCTGTGCTGCATTCGCATTACTCCTTGGATGAAGAAGCCTTTTTCTGAATTCCCTAGTGCCTTTCTTGGGGACTATCTGATACTGATGGCCTCTAGCTGTGTTCTTCCCCACAAGGAAGAAATAATTTTAAAGACTTCTATTGGGTCTCTCCTCAACCTTCTATTTTTTTGAAACGGAGAATGAGAACAAGTCCAGCTATAACTGAATATAATAAGGGAGATTATCACAGCTCTGTGTCCTAGGTTGTGGGTATCCCAGCAAAGACCCAGGAAAACCTCCTCTAAAAGGGAGATTATCACAGATCTGCATCCTTGGTTGTCTGAATCCCAGCAAAGAAGCAGGTAAACCTCCTTTAGTCTTGCAACTCCTCCACCAAATGCTAAATGTTCACCAAAATCTTAGTGGTGTTTGAGGTTAGCAGAATGAAACTTGATCTTTTTTGAAATATACAAGATTCGAGGAAGTAGATTCTGAGAGGATGTCTCCTTCTTCAGGGTGCACTAAGAACTAGAATTAAGGGGCACCATTTCAAAGTAAGAGATCTCCCATTTGACTGAAATTTAAAGAAATTTTGTCTGAGTCACTAGACTTTAGAATGCACTAAACAGAGAGATCAAGGGTCATGTCAATAAATCTAATTCAAGGCTGATTTTAAATTCAGAATCACAATTGTTAATGGCACATAGGAGGCCATTCAGTCCATTCATCCCATTGTATCTGTTCTATTATCTGGTAATCTCCTGCCTTTCCCCATACCCTTATACACCACTTCTTTCCAAGCAATCATCCAATGCCCCTCTCGAATGCTTCAGTTGAACCTGTCTCCACCTCACTTCCAGGTAGTGCACTACTCGCTACGTGAAAAGGTATTTTTTTTTCCCTCACACATTATCATTCCTCTTTTGCATTTCACTTTAAACTGGCATGGGAACAAATGGGGGAAGCAGGCAGGAAAGTGGAGGTAAGGCTCTTGTTGAATATCTTGTTGAACAGAGGGGGCCAAGTAGCCTACAGTTGCTCCCATTTCTTATGTATTGCAAAATATATGCTTCTGTTCTTTAAAAAGAAAGTAGAATTTAAAAGTAAAGCACTCGCCTAGGTAAGCAAGGTCCGTCGGAGTGAAATATCTCTGGACTGAGTGAGTAACAGTAGAATGGATACATTGTAACAATGAATTGCAACATGAATGAATGAATGATTGATTGTAGCAATGTGGGCGCACAGGCGCAGTGCAGTCACCCCGGGGCGGGGGAGAAGAGTGCCGGGTGCCGGCCGCCGGCCCTCCGGGAGCAGCTCAGTAACTAACCGGGGGAACAGGGCCATCGCCGAGCTGTGCAGCCGGTACACCGGGCCAGGTCAGCCTCGGCCAGCTACTCACCCCTCCCTGCTCTCTGGGCCTTTGTCCTCCGCCTTGCTCTCCCCTCGGGCCAGCCGGCTGCTCTCTCCCCCGGGAGGCAGGCTCCCGTCCTGCGACTGCCGGCTAGAGGCTGCCCCCCTGCCGCTGGCTCGGTGCCTCAGCTTCGAGGCCATTGCCTGTCAACCGAGACTACGGTAACCGGCGAGGCTCAGCCCGTCCCTCATACGGCAGGCAGAGAGGCTCAAAATGCACGCTCGGAGCGGTCGCGTTGCAAAGCTGTTGCTGCATCTATCTGGAGCCCCTTCGGAAAACCAAGCGTGAGCCTCCCGTTGCTGAATTTCTCAGGCCCTTTGAATCACTGAACCACTTGCAGAAAAAAAAAGTTCAGCGCATATTTCTTTTTGACAGTTGAATACTTAATGTCTGCCGATCTTTCATCTTTATAGATAAATCAGAAACAAAAACAGAAATTGCTGGAAAAGCTCAGCAGAAATCAGAAACAAAAACAGAAATTGCTGGCTGAGCTTTTCTAGCAATTTCTGTTCTTGTTTATGATTTATAGCAGTCCTTTCGGTTTTTACTTTGTAGGTAGTAGTTTTACTTTTGCAATTTTTATTTTGTGTGTTGCATCGTTTTTCGAAGACTCTACCACTATGCAGCTAGAGCAATTAAGATACCTTGTGTCTTAAGTAGTTCCTCACTTCTATCCACGCTTTCTTTTCAATATAATTGCAGATCTGTTATAAATATTTTACTGTGTAATTAACAGCTTGCCCGCTATTTCAAACTTCCTGGGATCTCAAAAATCATGGTATTGCCTCAAAACCTTAGGACCAATGAAAGTTCATGAAAAGAAGACTATCTGATCGATTCTAATAATTTTACGTTTCCGCTTTGTGTAGAACGCTTCTAATTGCGGCCAACTAGGTATTGCCTGTATTCTGAGAAAGCATTGGCTCCGTGCCCTCAACTTTAGTCTCTGTAAAAAAAGCGACATCTGCAGCAACTTCAGCTTTAGAGCCTGCATGGATGTTATGCTCCTGTGCAACAACAATTCTGCGATTCAAGTACTTTTTACTTTCTCAGGTCTGAGCAAGCATATCTATTTCAGAAATATATTTTTCTTCAGCACTCGATGCATTATATAGTTTCCTTTCAAAGGGACCGCTGGAATATAAATACTTCAACTTCTGTAAGAATTTCTGTTCAAAATCAGGTCTGTTGTTTTCTCAAAGAACTTAATTAAATTCATTCAATAAAACATTTCTCCTATAAGTCTATGGTGAGTCCTCATAATCCTTTTTGATTTCAGAACGTCTTCTAACACTCTCTGCCCAATTTCACTGCCTGCACTCCTTCATAGCCCTTTTAAATGATTGGTTTGGTTATTACGTTAAATACTCTCCAGTCGTCCAGCACCATTCAGGATTCCCTCGAAATAATGAACAGAGTCATGACCAAATTCACAGGTATGGAGCCCTCCTGTCCCTATTCATTTGTCTTCATTTAGGGACCTTGGCAAAGCTGTGATCAAACTGTCTCAAATTTTATCAGAGATAGTAGGAACTGCAGATGCTGGAGAATCCGAGACAACAAGGTGCAGGGCTGGATGAACACAGCAGGCCAAGCAGTATCATAGGAGCAGAGAGGCTGACGTTTCGGGCCTAGACCCTTCATCA